ATTTCTCTCCATCTTTGGCATACCATGGTGATTGCAACCAAAGAGTAACAGTCGAAAGGGAATAAATCGATGAAGTACTCAAACACCATGATTAAGATATCTTCCGGAAGCATGCGCACAGGTGCAATGCGGGCTATTTGATGTCATCTATTACCTTCGAGATAGCCATATGCGTTCCTGAGTCTGTGTAATTTGGAAGCTAGCCTGTCCATTTCGCTTTTGAGGAAGTGCAGGTGCAAAGACGCATCGTTGGTATTTGCTTCAATCTGCATCCTTTCTATAGGATCTGGATATCCATGTTGATTGGAAAAAAAAATAGGATATTTTGATCAAGATAAGTCTCATGGTATATATCAGACTCCTATGGGTTGCAGCTGTCAACATCGAATCATAGCTGATATATGGGAAATATGATAACAAACCGCGGTTTTATTTTCCCTTCTCACATGTAGCAGATTTTCACGTTATTCGTGCCTTACAGAAGACATAACCACTTCAGTTTCAAAGCAATGAGGAGAGCATCCGACTTCGTCAGAGCGTCAACTTCAACAGTCGAGGTCGTGCAAGTTCTTGGCAGGCTTGGAACATGAGCGCTTGAGCACTAGCTGACATAATTCGCAAAATCAACCAAACCGTTCTATTTTCGGTTACCCAACCGACATGAGAATGATCAGCAACCGTCAGTGACCGACAATGCCTTTGCAGTTCATGACTCATCCACTGCATCTATTTGGTTCACATTCCAAGCGCTGAAGCTCACATTTTTCTTGTTGTGAACTCCAGGTCTGATCATCTAGCCTTTCGTTCGAAATATCCAATCATATTTCTCGTTAACTGCCAGGTAGGATAAAAAGAAAGATATTATAACCCAGTATTTTAATTAAGAAGATAATCGAAGTTCGATACAGATATCTATATTATTGTAATCCGTGCTCCGCAATCAAGACCAAATTCGAGGAGAACTCGCCTTGAATACTCAGCGGTACCCGACAGGAGGAAAGTACGTGCTGTGCACTGCGAAGAGCGTTGTCGATTTGATTGAATGAAGTAACATACAATAGCTCATTAAGCATTGCTTAATTTTGCGGGAAATGTACGCTACTTACTGAGCCGCAAATAAATAAGAAATAAATGCGCGGTAACGCGATTCTTGAAATTATACACAAAGGTCAAGAATATAGCACCATTCCTAAAGAAAGCAACATGTTATTAATATAAAATCTTGCCATGCTTTGAGTAGTAGCATAGCTCCCAAAACATCTATGAGTTACTAACGGATGTTGTCGGAGCTTTATTTTTAGATGGCTTATGAGAATATTATTCAATTCAAGCATAATACTTATAATAGCGGAGCGGGTCGCAACGGACTGCACTAATACCTGAAAGAATGTCATGAGATCAGTGGTCAAACCATACTCCTGAAAGTCATACATCCATCTTTTGAACAGCAAACCAGAGGTTTCGATTTATATAACTATGCTTTTTTAGAAATTCGCGAGCCGCCTAGTTTGACGTCATCAGAGCTTCTGATATTGAGTGCGGAAATATTTTTTCGCCGGTCAGTGATCCTACAGGAATAAAACGAAAATGAGAATTAAACAAATAATAAAGTCCCAAATACCTTCAATTTATCTTTCGAAGCCGTTCCAGGAGATGGTCAAGAGGAAAGAGCAAGTTCGTATGTGCCGTGCGGAAACAAATCGGCAGACTTCGTCAGGGTTCCGGTACCGGCTCCTTTCAACTCAACCCTGACATTCGACATCGACCTATTGCTATCCAGGAGTTTGTTCTTGGTCAAGAGGAAAGGGCAAGTTCGTATGTGCCGTGCGGAACCAAATCGGCAGACTCCGTCAGGGCTCCGGTACCGGCTCCTTTCAACTCAACCTTGTCATTCGACATCCACCTATTGCTATCCAGGACTTTGCCCTGCTTGACTTCCGTTGTATCACCATCTACCAATTTTATGCCATATTGATCTCCACATGACATATAGCCTCGAGTTCATACTCGTTCTGGAAAGTTTTTCTGTGCCATTAAAGGAAAGCCACTCGCCGAGCTTCATGACATCGTAAAGACAGAGTCATACAGTGTGTGGCTGAACCTATTATCTGCTCTTCGTGACGGTTCTGGATGACCAGCCGCGCCTAATGTTCTGTATAAAACTTTGCTTCTTGGACCTCCTGTAATTCATTAGACTTGAACTCTTCTGCCTTCTGTCTTGCAACCTTTAATCATCATGAAGTTCTCCGTTGCTGCCGTCTCTGCCGTCTTCCTTGCAGGTGTTTCTGCCGCTGTAAGATGTCTGCTACTTTTGTATTTATATTTTGACCGACGCCTTTCGCAGCCTGCCGGAACTGCAACAGCTGCTGCACCCCAAGCCACCGAGACCTTGGGTTGGGCTCAACACTGGTATGTCTATAATAATCTCTTACTATTCCATCCACTCAATTTGAAATATAGGATTAAGACCCCTGTATGATAAGTTTTGGCCGTTAGCTTCAAATCATTCTAATACTGTTTTCCTGCACCTAGAGTGGCCAATTCCTTCAATCCGCTACTCCCTGGCAGCCAAGTGATGCAGTCCTCGGATCCCCCTTGACTGCTGGCGAATTCAATATCGTCTCAACCTCTCTTGTCGACACCGTTCATACCCCGACTATGATGTACGCTACGGTTGCCCCCATCACCGCAGGAGCCACCATGCTCAAAGTTAGCTTCGAGGCGGGACTCGTTACCCCTGCCTCTGGTGGCGCATTTGCTTGGTCTGGAACCTCTAAAGCTTTGACCTGGAGCCGTGACGATTCCACTTTTACTGTGAGTGTTCTAAGGCTCTTTATGTAATGACCGTGACACTCATTGTACTATAGGGCTGGATCACTTGCGATAGCGTTCTTTTTGCCAACCTGAAGTCCACTGTTCCCTCGGGCTGCACTTCCGTCACTATTTCTTCTTCCGTCACCACCTTTGCCACCGATTAAGTAATACTTTTCTTGTATCTGACGTTGCATTATCTGGTAGAATAGAGCCTATACTACTTTAATATACCTACTTTAATCATTTGTGTTACATCGAGTGAGCCTCGATATAGAATGTTCTGGTCAGAATATGCTTTAATCTTATGAGTTTTTCTCAGCCATTACTTCCCATAAGACCTTCACAACCTGGCGGATTGCAGTGGATAATCTTATAGAGCCTCATGTGGCATCTCGCACTTTCAAGTTCATTATCATTCAAGTTCTTAGTGTCACCTTCAGATCGGGCGTCTTTAAATTCGTAGCTATCCAAATCATATCAGTAGACCTCTGGCTGTAGTTATTTTGATTTGATTATTAGGTTCAACTATGCCACGATATCTCAAGGAAGTACACTCACATATGAATTGACAGCTTAATTTCTTCTCATAAAGGAGAAAGAACCTCGTACGTTTAAATTTTACTCTATATCTACTAAGCCTCTGGAAGAATATGAAAGAAATCGGGTATTCACTGTGCGCGCAAAGCCTCGCGTCATCGCCTAGTTATGTGCAAGGCACTGGGTATTTACGCATGCAACCTCTCTAAATTAAGAGCATGAATTAGATTTCCAGAAAAACAACAAGGACAATTGAAGTATTTCCGGCAGTATATCAGACCAGGATTGGCTCGAAATGCAAATAAACGACTCGGAAATGTTCATGAAAAAGATAGGATTGGTCCATACAGGGGTCTAACATGTAACCTTGGTATTATTAGTACCACGCTCTAACCAACTGCGCTAATATGCCATGGGGTCCTGGATTGATGGACATGAATCCCGTCATTATCACCTTCAATCGCAGCTTAAATTCCGCAACCTTTCCTGCGCTAAGCCTACGTTCGGCGCAAGCCTCTTGCAAGCCTCGCAGTGTACAGTCGATTAGTACCATCGGATGATGTCAACAGCGAGATCTGATGGCACCTCAACTTCTAATGTGAATCATTTTGTAGTCCCCCTGAGACCGAATTGCAACGCACTTGAGTTTTCGGGAGCCAGAGAATTATGAGTTATTGTTGAGTAACCACAGAGATTTCTCTAAGTATGAGAAGGATATCAGTGCTCTAAACGGGTCAAAAGAGTAGTTTGGCTCGATTAAAAACAATGCTTGGGATTTCCGAGTGCCAGCCAAGTGCCTGGCAGTGGCAGAACAGCTAGATATCATTCAAGCTTCGGAAAGTACGCAGCCCTTATGAGCGCATTATTAAGACATCAATATAACATATTATCTAATAACTTCATTTCATGTTAAAGAGCCCATTTCTGTTGCAGGCCCGTTCATGTTTCGGCATATATTCGCCATGCTACTTTTCAACTCTCTGCTGGCTGTGGGCCAAACAGTTTAATTATTTCCATTTTTTCAAGAACAGGCGTATTGGTAGCTACATCTCAAGTGATTTAAGTAAGAATTTAAGAATTATTTCGATTGTATTCTTTACCTCAAAATTCTATTTATTGGCTTCCAAACGGAATGTACCAGAGAAACCCCCACCTTCCTTCACCAACCATCTCTCTTTACTTTTCACTGATATTGGGACACCGAGGTATGGTTATATTCCTCTAAAATTGAGAATAAATTCATTCCAACGAGGGGAAAGGACTTGAACGAGCCTGAAGTCTCATACTCTTGAGACCGACGAGGAGCACAGTGACACCGAAATGGTGGAGTCGAGAGTGGTGTTGACGAAATTACGAGAACTTATCCAGCTGGCAGCACGGATCTGAGGGTGCTCCTTCCTTTTTTACCCAACACCCCTGCTAGATATTTCTGTCTTGGGTTTTACAATGCTTATATACACACTTTTATTGCGAAAGGAATTCTAAAACTTTCAAATATTCATGTATTGAGTATATACTTATGTTATAACCATGATACAGGCCTTCCTCTTCGCTGTCCTCGATCCCGCACAGTACGGTAGTCTTCCTCCTATGACCGAAAGCGACTATGAGCTGAAGGTGATCCTAACTGACGACACAGAGGCAAAAGAGCTGCGCAGAGAGGCTCGAACTTTCGACCTTCCAATTGAACTACAGTCTCGTAAGAGACAGTAACAGTCGGACGGTATAGCCAGCTAAGCCACGGGGAACATGTAATGCCATATTGAAGGATATCTCAACCACCGCGGCCTTAATTTCGTTCAGGACAATCTTCAAGAAAGTAAGTTCTTGAGAAGAACATCGCAATAAGCGTGCCTAGAGTTAGATTTATCGACCAAACTGCCAGGCTGCTGGTTATCGTACGTGATCACTGATGGCAGTGCGCGCGAGAGGCTACTACTGTGGCCGCATAATTGGTAAGTCGAGGCAGTCCGTGGATGGTATAAAACGATGGCCTACCAGTGCAATTCATGATAGTAGAATATAGTCTCCAGAAAGTCAACTGTTGTGGAGTGACAGGCACTTGTTCATGTAGTAAGCGCCTGTTGGGAACACTTCGAATGTCCAGGCCGAAGTAATACTGCAAGGAGGGACCTTGCCAAAGTCCGCATTAGTCGGGATGGGATGGGATATAGCTTCAGCATCCATTCAATTCAGGACATCTTCGCACATCATAGGGGTAGAGGAGGAGGATGCGGAGGTCACGATGCAGCGGCATTGGAGAACCAATAGCTCTCTAACGTCGATGAAGCCAAAAGGACGAGCACTAATTGAAGACGCTGACCACGACGACAGATGCGAACGATGGTCTTATGGGGTTGAGCTGAAAGAAAGCGTTCTGGACGGGTTGGTGTAGTGGACGACATCGTTCGACCTGCGTCTCCGAGATGAGCAAAACGATGGGGTCTGAACAGGGAATATAAGTTGAACATACCTTTAATAAACAATGTGCAAGGGCGTACCTAGCGATATATGGAGCGGCTGACGCGGAATGGAAGGAAGTAGGTTGAAGGAATAGACGCCGAACACCCATCGATGACCAGTAGCAACAAGATATCTTAGCAATGGAGAGATGTAAGTGGGATTCGGTAACATATATAAAGTAGGGGTTTGCAGAATACCTATTATTCGAGCAGATCGACTAGAAGACCAGCTCCCGCTAGCACACGTCAGAAACAGGCGCGGCCGATATCTTGTCAGATTGAAGCATTGCCAAGTTTGATGCAGTTATAGGGTCTGAGTCATCTAAGCTTAATATAGTAATGCTCGTGGAGAACCGCGGATAGCGTTGTTGAGTGGCAGATGGGGCGTGTACTGAGACGTCGAGACGTAGGTGTATCGCATTCCATGTCGCCCAACAAAAGTACGTCGATAGGAGACAATTATGGATCATGAATCCTAGTGAGAGAGTATCACGGGTTTAAACGTCCTGTTGAAGTAGAAGACGACGGTCAAGATGGAATATTGGCTATAGAGATTGCTCATAGTACGTACCCTGAAGTCGTGTATATCCAATCAGAATGACCTTCCATCTTAAAGCTTCCGATTGATGCCTCCATAGCCAAGATATATTCAGTGTAGACGCGTCAAGACAAAGGTTGATATGCACAGTAAGGCGGATGTTCGTGACTTGAGGATACGAAGCGTAAGTCCTAGAAATATCACGACAGAAAAGGAATTACACGTACCTCATATTCCCGTATTACCTAGATACAACTCCCCAGTACGATATAGCATGGTCTCTTTGAAAATGTGCGATGATGGGGGACGAACTCGCTGGTGACCTCGATGTCATGCGAGCAGCCTGGTTGGAACTATGACGACCATTCCTGGGATGAGGTCTTGATTTAGAGCTAAATAGGAAGTAAACTTGAATAAGATATGCGATGAATGACGGAGACATATATCTCACTGAGGATTGAACGTTATTGAGCGGCGAGTTCGAGCAGGAGCAAGGAGTTGCAGCTCCGCTTCGGTACCGGCCGTTCAAGCCTAAGACGCCATCAACTTCAGGTTTAAATCTGGGTTTACACGGAGCGAATCGACCGAGGCGCGCATTACGGCATCGCATTGACCCGCGCCGCTACTTCCCTTCCTCCTCAACACTTCTGGCAGTCGGGTTCAAGGTTGTGCAGGGGGCGTACTTTTTTGCAGCCATAGTGCGCAGCCTTGTGGGTTCACCCGCTGCTAGGTTAAAAGAGAGAAGGAGAGGGATCCGCCGCCATCCCATTCGCCAGCCGAACCATTCAAGGTACGTTCCTCACCGCTGTTGAGGAACTCACTGAGACTCAGCAGTCTCCCGCGTCACATTTCATTTGCTTTCCCATCCACCGCTCCCCATTTTGCCGCCGCTCGCCTTCGTCCCTTGCATTTTTTGTAGACCCGCGTCCACACGTGCCCGCTGCCCGTTCGAGTTTAATTCACGTTTAGATTCTATTCACGCCGGTCGAATCCGATGAGCCACCAACAGCTTACGTCATCGCTACGGCACGCGTTGCGGCTTCTTCTCCTCACAGCGCCCTTTAGACGGGGTTCAAGGTTGCACAGGGGGCGTGCCATTGGTAGCCACTAGCGTGCACTTCATAGGATCACCCGTCCCCTCGATATTCAGGAATAGAGGTGGGAGGACCGCGGCTTTTCTCCCAGCTACTCCCTACACCTCGCTAGGTACATCCTCTGCCGCTGTCGAGGGTTCCGCTCGCCAATTCGACTTCGCTAGCCGACCCTTCGCGCAATTCTGCGCCGAGTATTGCCTTGTCTCTCGCCCACTCCAGCAGGAACTTGCAGGGAGATCGGATTCGAATTATGTTTACATAGTCGGTCGAGACGCCCATTACGTCATCGCCTTGACCCGCGCCGCTGCTTCCCTTTCTCCTCTACACTTCAAGCAGTTGGGTTCAAGGTTGCGCAGGGGGCGTGCGATTGGCAGCCACCGGAGTGCGCAGCCTTGTGGGAACACCCGCTGCCTTGGTTTAAGGAGGAAGGAGAGGGATACCGCCGTTATCCCATACGCTAGCTGAACCTTCGCAAGGTACATTCCTCGCCGCTGTCGAGGAATTCGCACGCTAACTGAGACTCGCTAGTCTTCCGCGCCGCGTTATTTTTGCTTTCCCACCCTCCGCAGCCTATTTCCTTCTGTCTTTTTTATTTTATTTTATTTATTTCGTTATTCATGTGTTGGCCTAAATAGTAATTTCATGCGTCTCGTAACTTTGTATTTCTCTCTCTTGCCGCTGATCACATTACATGTTTATCTGTCTCACCATTGTAATTCTTTCTCTTCTCTCCGTGTTTCGCTCCCATGTATCTGGATGGTTATCAATATAAAATAATTTGGATGGCGCCTAGTGCCAAGTATCACCGCCTCTCCTCGCTCTTCTGCAACTCAGCCGATTTGTGTGGTATGAGTAGACAATTAATAAACCAACTTATTTACTTACATGGATTTGTATAGATTACTACTGCATATTTACAATGTATTAGTATAATAAAATCGGGACTTCTATCCCTACAGAACACCGTGGAATGGTTTATGCTCAATAAGAACTGCTCGCTCGCTCGTTTTACTTTGTCTGGGGATATTCTATAAACGGGAGTCTTCTATCTCCAACCTGACGGAATTCGTTATCTGGGAAGAAGAACGAATTTCCATTGCCTCCTTTGTATGGAGGCCACGTGGACACCCTATCATTAGTGTTCATTGATTAATAATCTTGCAATGAGTATATAAAAATCGAGCTCCATTCCCCGCGATTAACGCCTTCCCCCATTGACATGTCCGACTTGCTATCTTCCCTAGAAAAAATCAGCTCTCCCGGGAAATCGGATGAGATCGAGGATCTTCAACAGACGGTCGATCATGAAGGCGATATACGGTCCAGATTGCAAAGATATAAATTGGGCTTTCTCCTTCCATCGCAAGGTATGCTGCATAACCCAGACTGATCCAAAAACTCATACTTTGGTTTGATGATCTGCAGTGGAAGCTCAGGGGATAGAACCGATCCCAGAGGATGAACGTGAGAGCTTCAAAAGTCTCGATATGTTTTGGGTTTGGATATCGTACGTTTCGCTTTAAGAATCATTAAAATCTAGTTTTCGCTTTATTTAATTATCCTTGGATTTCTTTGACAGTATCAGTACCGTTATTTCCGGATTACCTATAGGCATCCTCGGACCCAAAGCATACAATTTATCATTCTTGGCAACAATGGTCACCCTTATAACATTTCAATTCTTGTACGATTGATTCCTTCAACTGGTCTGGTTGCCGTTGATTTGATTTTAACAGAGGAGCTTTGGCTGTAGGATTTATCGCTGCCATGGGAGCACGTTTGGGCATGCGTACTATGGTCATTACGAGATATTCCTACGGGTATTGGGGTGGTGTCATCATATCGATCTTGGCCATTCTGTCACAGGTGTGTTCTTAGATGATTATGCGGCACGACATTGCTTTAAGAGTGATTTTTTCAGCTCGGATGGGCTTTGGTTGGAGCGGTGTTGGCTGGTCAGATCTTGCATGGAGTTAATTCGAATATTCCTTCGGCAGTCGGTATTCTGATTATAAGGTCCGACTTTGGCTCGTCGGCCATTGTATTTTCTTGTCCTGGTAGATAGATCATTTTGAAGTCATATTCGCTCAAGAAGTCCACCCATCTGTGTTGCCTTGCTGATAGCTTAGGTTGTGACATTAAGAACTCCAGTGGTTTATGATCGGTATATATTCTGAAATTCGTGCCTTGTAAATAATGGCCGAATCGTTTTAGCGATTCGATCACTGCTAGCAATTCCCGTTCGTGCACCGGGTAATTCTGTTGCGCGGGTGTGAATTTCCCTGAC